AATGCACCTCTAGGAGCCGTCCTAGCCTTTGGTAAATCCTTAAGCTCAAGGGGCCCAATGGGGCCTAAGTGTGGCGTGCGGTTTTGCATGCACTCCCCAATCCATACATACATACATACAAGTTATAGATTAACTTAAATGTTTTTTTTTTTAAACATAAAACTCAGACCCTGAGATCGTTTACTTTCGTTATTTTTTTTTGTAGAGTCTCGTGTTAGATATATATATTTTTTTTGTTTCAATAATTTTTTTTTGTAAAGTATTTTTTCTATTTTCTATTAAAGATTGTTATTTATTTATTGTATTTAATTAAAGTATTTTTATTCATTTTCGAAAGACGAATACACATATTATCACATTTGGCTACCCAACAACGTGGGGCATTGTTCTAAACGAACATAGAATTAAAAAAAAAAAAGCTCAAAATAAAATATAAATAAAGCTCGAAATAAACTCTATTCAACTATTCATTTTTATTTAATTGTTTTTGTACGAAATAAATCTCTGAATAATGGCAGAAAAATAAGGTAAGGAAAAGGTCATAACTAAAGAACAGAGTGACGAACAAGGGGGATGTAGTCAGATAAGGAGCAGATCTAGAATAGTTACCGTAGAAAGAGGGGAAAATGACACAGACTAAAGAAGGACTAAGAAGTTCAGGAGATGAAGGGAAAAGAAAGGATGAAGGAAACATGATGGAAATGATTAAACAAATGATGGAAAGAGCTGAAGAAAACCGGAAGAAAGAAAATTTAGAAGCTGAAAAGAGACCTGAAGAAAGAAGTGAAAGAGATAAATTAGAAACGAAAAAAGTATTGGAAGATATAATAACTACGCTAGAAGGAAATCAACGAAGGATTGACGAGAAATTAGAAGAAATCCAGAGAAGAACTGATGAGAAAATAATTGAAAGTCACAAAATTTTAAATGATAACTTAAACGTACTGAACGACATACAAAGAAATTCCAAAATTAGTATTGAAAACTTAGAAATCAGACAACAGATCACCGAAACGAACGTAGAAAGTAATAAAATCAATTTGGAATATTTGAAAGAAAAATTAGTAGACGAGGAGAGAGAGATTGCTAAATGGGGACAAATAACGAACCATAACTCTGAATCCATTGGTAGAATCGAATCACATGTCGTGGAATTAGAAGGGAATTTTGTTACAGAAAGTAGGACGTTAAAAGGAACCGTCGAAGAATGGAATAAGGAAAACAATGAAGCTCTTATAAGATTAAGGAAAGAAATAGACACCATAAGAATATCGGGAACAGGGGCGATAAATAGTGAAAATTACCACCAACTTTATAAAATTAAACCTGAGGTATGGCCTAAATTCAAAGGAAATGGGGATAAGATACATCCTATGACCTATTTAAACAATTTATTAAAATTAACCGTCGATATACACGATCCAAGACTAATCCTAACCCTTATTCGATTAACACTAGAGGAGAGAGCTTTGGAATGGTATGAGATGGTCTTAGATAAATGTTCTACAATCGAAGACTTCCAAAGAGAATTCAAACACCAATTCTGGAATAAAAAACATCAGGACTATCAAAGAGTAAGATTAATGACAGGAAAATATAACGAGAAACGGGGAACGAGGGAAAATTATGCATGTGATTTGTACAATAGAAGCAAACACATAGAAAATACAAATGAAGCTGAGATTGCACAACATATTTTAAATCATTTCATATTGTCAGATAACCAGTCGATTATATGTCAAAGTGTGGGGAATATGGATGAACTCATAGAAATCCTCCGACGATTGGATTATCTTACGGAAGTACAAAACAGAGAAAAATTCAACAAAGGGAACTAAAATAATAATTACAGTCAACCGAATTATAATCAGTATCAACCACAAAATCAACAGAATAACCATCCAAACCCAAGACAATACCAAGGACAAAATAATTATTACCAACCGAGATTTCCGCAAAATAACAACTACAGAGCTAGAGGACCACAACTATTTAATGAGAGAGGAGGCCATAACAGTTACAACAATGCCCATAACCATTACTCGAACTGGAGATATCAAAGACCTAACAATAATAATAATGGTAACTATAATGACAATTACAGAGGAAGATCACCACCCAAAAAAAACAAAGAAGAGAATAAATTGAAAAAATCTAACTGTACTTACGTTTGTATCTTTTTCAATTCTTAAGGAAGGGGTAATGTAATAATATTGGCTTCCACTCATAATTTTATTAATTAATTAATAAACAATAGTTTTGTTATAAGAAATAATTACAATAAAGTGGAAATAATGACATTCCGTAGAAAATCTGTTACGCCTTAAAAAAAAAGGTAAACCAAAACGCACCCGAAATGAAAATTATGATAATTTTTGAAATTGTTACCCGATCGACACACAACCCGCAAAACAATTTACGTTATCGTTAAACCTAACCAGTTTGTTGCGAACTCCCCGGCAAACTCGTTTGGAGAAGGGGAGGTTCGATTTATTTAAGGCGCCACACAATCCGTTAATTCGCAACGGGCACTGATTGTGAAGTGATGTTGGAAACAAGAGTTCATACAATAACGAAAATTTAACAACACAAAGATATGGAAAGGAAATAAAGAAACTCAATAGATGCAGGTAAGCAAAATGATATATATATATTGCAAGAAAAAGAAAAAAAAAATCAAATAAAATAAATTATATAGGTTAAATTAAATCAAAATAAATATCAACCTAACGAAAAATAAATATCAAAAAAAAAAATGAAACTAAGAAGATTTAATTGGATAACCAAAAAAAAAAAATGAAATACCTGATTGACCGCGACACCGATTGTCTACCTCAAGTACTTGTTTCAGAAATCGATTAAATTAAAAAAAAAATTGAATTTCAAAATAATAACAAAAAAAAAATACCTATTAAACTCTTTTACAAAAGTAAAATAAATTATAATCAATTGATTCGCAAATTCAAAACAAAATTATATATCCTAAATTTAGTTTGTATGTTATTCTTTTTTTTTTTTTTTTTAAAAAAAGATCCTAAATTATACTAGGTAAGTATTATTATAATGTACAAAAAAAAATTGAATTATCAAACTTAATAATTGAAACAGTAGACAGACAATAAAGTAGAATAAAAAAAAATTTAAAGTTTAAAACGAATTGTTGATCTGACCTTAAGTTGTCTTCTTTTTTTTTTATATTTTAATAGTCAACTTCGAAAAGGTATGAGTTGGATGATCTTCAGCAGCTTCCTTCGAGATGGTATGGTAAGGAGTGGATATCCAGTGGTATTGAAGTTATTAAAATGTGCTCAGAATTTTAGGACCAAGAATTTCATTACCAAAATGGTTCCCCCAAAGGAAAGACCTACGGATCGTAATTACCGATTAGAAAAAAAAAAAATCGCGAAGGGAATGGATGAAAAGAATGAACGGATGTAAGTGTGAACGGTTGATTTTTTTTTTTTAAATGAAAAGGGTAAATCTAATCAATGAAATTATGCTAATCAATAAATAATAAGGATGTTATGATATGGATGGGAAAAGTTATGATTAACCGAAATAAGCAATTCTTACCTCAGTTGATCGAGGTCTACGCCCAAAATTTATGGAATATGGTGAAAAATATTAAATCCGGTTAAAATATCCGGGTCGGGTTATAGAAAAGACTTAACCGCGACTTTTCAACGGGAGTGATATTTCCGATGACTTCGGATTAGCCTCAAGACGCCAAAATTTAATCGCAAATTTTCCAAAATGTCTATCTACGCTGATTTACACTCGTCGTTGCTTTTCTTCACCACCGACAGAGAGAATTGTCACCAAAACCAAAGAGACCGAGTTTTCAAAACCCGTCGGAATTTATACTCGACTCGAATTTCCAAAAAAAATGTACCTTATCGCGCAACTCCCAAAAGTAAAAGTCAAAATAAATACTGTAGGTATTAAACATCTGTCTTTTATTTAAAAATTAAATCCCTTATTAACAAACAAAAAAAACCTCCCTCCCAAAAAAAAATTAATAAGATTTTTAAAGAAAATCTAAAGAAATAAGGAATAACGACATCTAATGGGTAAAAGGAAAGGTAAGGACAAAGGATTCTCGAATTCTGCTGCTGAAACAAAAAAAATATAAAACAAATTTTGCTACCTGTCTATTGAGAAGAAACACTAAGAACAGAAGAAAAATAAAAACGTAACACCCCTCTTTCCCGCCAAAAGAAATTTTTCTCCAAAAATTTCTTATACCCAAAGCCAATATTACCACAAAGGTTCCGAAAAGAAAAGAAAGAAGAGTTGTACGAAAGAAAGACAGAAAATAAGTTTAAAAAAAAAACAGAACGCATAAAAAAAAGAATTCAAATGGATTCATTCATCAATATCATTCCGGTTACGGTTACAGCGTTATGTGCCAATGTCCAACTAAAGGATTCCCGCCCAAATTCTCAAGCTCATAAATATCGTCCGCGAGTTTCTTCCGTACTCTAAATGGTCCTATATACTTATCGGAAATTTTCGCCGCAATGCCTTTAGCCGCGTCCGACAAAACAAAATTTTCTTTTCAAACCACATCGCCAACATCAAATTTTAAATCCCGACGCCGCAAATTGTAATATTGTTCCGAACGTAAAGAAGCCAACCTTAATCGTGTATGTATTTCCGAAAAGAGTTGACGAAATGATTTCGCTCTATTTTTGTTACTTTGTTTTTCCTGAATATTGTCGATTTCGTGTAGCTCACCGTCCAAAATCATTTCGCGCCCATAATTTACAAAATAAGGGGAATAACCCGTTCCTGCGTGCTTCGCAGTTCTTAAGGCACAGGTAACCTTAGGTAGAAAAACGTCCCACTTTCGGTGGTTATCACTAACATACGCCGTAAGCATAGTTTTTATGGTACGATTTACTCTTTCGGTTGGATTGGCCTGAGGATGATAAAAAGGAGTAAATTTAATCTTTACACGATAATCTTTCATCAATTTTTCGAATTGATGCGACCGGAATTGAACACCATTATCTGCAATGATGGTTTGTGGCACCCCAAAAGTAAGAAACACGTTCTCTTCTAAATTCTTAATAACCGACGACGCTGTTGCTTTTCGTAACGGAAAGCAAATCGGGTACTTGCTGAAAACATCTAATACGACTAGAATGTAAGAAAAGCCTTTATTACTACGCGGTAAGGGTCCTATAATATCAACGCTTATCATTTGCCACGGACGTATGGCATTTATATGACTCCGGAGTTGACCTGCAGGTGCTTTCTGCTCGGGCTTTGTGCGTTGACACGTATCACACGAACGAATGTAGCGAATTACATCGGTTCTAAATTTCGGCCAGTAATACCGTTGAGAGTATACAACGGATACTTTTCCGGCTGTGATTTTACCGAACGCAACATTTTAATATACCAAGGTTCTAATTTAATCTCGTGTCCAATTTCATCAACCAACGCGGGTACCGGCCTAGACAAAGCATCGGGTACAACATGCTCTTTCCCTTTCCTTAATGGAAAAATTGTATTGCTGGAGTCTTATTGCCCAACGGGCCAATCTCCCTGAAGGGGACTTCAAATTATTCAACCATACCAGCGAATAATGATCAGTGATAACGGTGAAATGTCCACCTTCAATATATGGCCTTAATTTCTCGATCGCCCATAATACGGCCAAACATTCCTTCTCTGTTGTAGAAAATTTTCGCTCCTGCGTAGTTAACGATCTGCTCAGATAACAAATAACGACCTCTTTATCCCCATCATCTAGTTGTGTTAAAACCGCCCCGATTCCGAAATCAGAAGCATCAGTTTGAATGGTGAACTCCTTGCTAAAGTCGGGTCTAGTCAAAATCGGTGCTGATATTAACCTTTCTTTAATTGTACCCCAGGCCCTATCACATTTATCGTCCCAATTAAAACCTTTGCTATTCTTTTTCAGCAATGACGTCAGAGGTGATATGATAGTCGAAAAATTCGGCACAAAACGCCTATACCACGAAGCCATTCCTACCAATCTACGCACGTCTGAAACATTCCGAGGTTCAGGTATCTGTAATATCGACCGTACCTTTTCGGGGTCCACATGCAACCCGTCTCGATCAACAACATAACCCAAGTACCGTAGTGAGTCTCGAAAGAAAACGTATTTTTCACGATTTAAAGTGAGTCCCGCACCAAGCAAACGTTCGCAAACTAACTCCAAAATTTCAAAATGTTTCTCAATAGTTGACGTGACAATAATGATGTCATCCAAGTATACAAAAACATGAGGTTCAAGATCACTCCCCAATATTGTCAACAAAACGCTGCCACGTAGCCGGAGCGTTCGTTAACCCGAAAGGCATTCTATTGAATTGAAAAAGCCCGCGATTTGGCACAGTAAATGCGGTGTATTGTTTACTTTCGGCGGCCATAGGAATTTGCCAGTACGCTGACTTAATGTCAATAGAGGACAAAAAGCGCGCGTCACGAAGTTTGTCTAATGTCCACGATATTTGGGGTAACGGGTACGCATCCGCTCTGGTAACTTTATTTAGTTGCCTAAAATCTACGCAAAAACGATGTCCCCCATCACGTTTGGGTACTAATAAAATTGGAGACGCCCATGGACTATCAGATTTTTCTACGATGCCCATCAATAGCATTTCGTCTAGTTCTCGATCGATCACGGTCTGCATTGCTGGCGATATAGGGTAATACCTCTGTTTAATAGGCAAAACATCGGGATTTACCTTGATATGATGTTCTACTAAATGTGTGTGACCTAATTTATGTTCCGAATTCGCGTCAAAAACCCGATCCAGAAATAACGATAATTTATTTTGATCACTAATACTAAGCTCAACCTGAGCCTGAATCGCGTCAACCGATATTTTCGGAGGGTCACATGAAAAGGTCCACTCGCCGCGTCTCAAGTCAGGCACTACTCCCATTTTACGCCAAAAATCCACTCCCAATATCAAAGTATGCCGTACTTCTGGTACTAATAGTATTTCTACGATTTTACTCCGACCTTCGACCGTGATTGGAACACTTACAGCGCCCTCAACTAGACAACTCTCATTATTTGCAACCGTGCATCGTGTATCCATTTTCTTAACTGGCAATTTTAATTTTCTCAACATTCGAATACCGATTTCACCCGCGATAGTTCTACTGGCTCCCGAATCTAACAAACCCGCGATTTTTATTCCCAGGATATCAACTAATAAATATGGACGTTCGTACCCGTTAGTACAAGCAAAAATAAAATCTAAGATAACTCCGATCGGCTTTCCTGAGGATTGAGATCGACACCGACCTATCGTCGTCTCACTACCCCGTTTCCCGAACACTTAACACAATTTCGAGTTATTACCCCGGGTTCCCCACAACGAAAACAATGTAACTTTCGCGGCGCTTTGCAATCTTTTGCCCTATGTCCGGTTTTTCGACAATTCCAGCAAATCGATAAATTTAATCGTGCCCCGTTTCTATTTGATTCAGTAGCCGACTCTACCGCGTCTATTTGTACATAAGCTAAATCCGGTTCAAGCGTTTTGGTAGCACGGGCAGGAGGCGCATAGCTATCAACGGAGAGTTTGGTAGCCTCTAACTTCCGTCCAAGTTGCAATAATTGATCCACCGAAGCCACGTCTACCAATGATAATTGCCGTTGAAATGCAGGTGTTAAATTCTTTAGCATTATTTTAATTCGCGTACTTTCCGGAATTCGGGTATTTAATCGCGAGAATAGATTTTGCATCACGGATACATAGATTCCGATCGATTCTGTAGGGCCCTGTGTTCGATGTCTAATTTCATCAAATAATCTATCATCGTAGTCAATAGGTTGAAATTCTAGTTTTAAACCCTCCACTAATTGGTCCCACGACGCGTAACTATCACGATTCGCACGATACCAAATAAGTGCTCGATCGCGAAATAAATCCACAGCCTGTTGTATATTATAAATCTTAATGTTAGTGGCGACCTCTAGTGACAGTTTAGTTGTAACATGTATGAGAGCCACATGCAAGCGGAGTCGTTGTAAGAACACGATCGAATAAAGACGTTTGAACCTACGCAATAGTTTCATTAAAAACATACAACATGGCGCAGTCAAGGGACGCTTAAAAAGAAGTTAGAAAATAATAAGAAAACTAAAGAAAAACCATGGAGTTTTTGAGTCAGCCGCATCCTATGAAAATGGATGGCGATATAGCTGTAAATTGGAACAGCTTTAAAGATAATTTTGAGACGTACGCACTAGCAACTGGGTGTGCGCGGCGGCGTTTCTACACTGTATGGGACAAGAAGCAAGAGATGTCTTGAAAACACTAGAAGTTTCTACTGAAGATAAGAAAGATAAGGAGAAAATAAT